TGTAGCAGCATGGGTGGTGCCACCAAAGGGTTACCTAAGAAACAGAGCTACCCTAAGTCCATAGTGATAACTCAAGACTGAGGCTCAGGTGACCCAAGTTCTAATCTTGACTCACCACCAGCTCAGAGTCACGATGGGCATGTCACAGCTCATCTCTAGGTCTCTTATTTCCCCACTGACAAAAGAACAGGGTTGAAACAGATCAGAAGCTGAAAACTCAATGCAGACAGGAGCCTCTTAGATAACAAATGATGAAGCAGGCTGGGTGGAATACAGTAGGGAGTGGTGAAGACTGTGGTGAACCAGAAAATATCTGACTGGAGGTAGGGGCTGCTTCTCAGATCAGCCGAGGGTCCTGTGTGGGAATTCAGGCCTGCCTTTTCAATAGAAAGCTCCAGAAATCCATATTTTCATATGAAATTTCCTGATTTTTAAATGTTGGCTACCAGTTAAAAAGAGGAAAAAAAAAATTAAAATGACACTTTGCGAGTCAAACAAAACATCTCTACAGAGGGAATTGGCTGAGGAACAGCTCGACACTTAAGGAATCACAATGCCTGTCCCCAAACACATGCTCAGTGGACATTTATTGACTGAATTAGTGAATCCTGATGCCTACAGTTTCCTTCCATGAAGTATTTCTGGCCCACCCCTAAAATCAGGAAACTCATGCCACTTGTCCCAATTCCATCCCCTACCCTACAATGGCTGGAGTTCAGGGTCTTTACCCACATTCTGCTCTGGGTCCTCTTTAGACCTGTCCCTTTAGAACTAGGCTAAAGAGGTGTCCTGGAAACAAGGTTCCAGAAAACCTGGAGCTGAGACCGGAGGCATCCAGGCACTGCTCTCTGCTGCCCCCTGCAGGCATCTGTAAATACTGCCGTGGAGGTTTGGTGTGGTTCTCATCTCGCAGCCCTGCGGGAAGCCCGCCACTGCATCGCTGGACGTACTTTTAGTCTAGTTAATGGTAGCTAATAAGAAAATCTGGAAATATTTTTAAATAAAAAAAACTCAAGGGAATTGCACATAGAAAAAATGCACAGGGTACGAAAGAGTCAATAGCTGGCAAAACATCTACAGTCCGTTATCCTGGGCTTTTAACTGGGTAGGTGGGTGTAGTGGAACTAACTGAGGAGCCTGGGATCAAGTCCCTGTGGATTCTGTCACCACCTATCTCAGCCTTTATTTTCTCATCTCTAGAATGGGGATAATCATGCTTGCCTGGTGGTGGTCAGGACTAAAAGAGATAATGGAGTGCTTAACATAGTCCTCCACATCAAGTAAGTGCTCACAAAATTCTTTCGATATTCATGGTAATGACTATGCCTTCACTAATGGGTCATTTACTATGTGCTAGACACTGTGACAGCTGTTTTCCTTTCCATTTCTCATCTAATTCTCGCAAAACCCCAAGAGGCAGGTATTATCACCATTTTCTCTGCTGCCCCCTGCAGGCATCTGTAAATACTGCCGTGGAGGTTTGGTGTGGTTCTCATCTCGCAGCCCTGCGGGAAGCCCGCCACTGCATCGCTGGACGTACTTTTAGTCTAGTTAATGGTAGCTAATAAGAAAATCTGGAAATATTTTTAAATAAAAAAAACTCAAGGGAATTGCACATAGAAAAAAATGCACAGGGTACGAAAGAGTCAATAGCTGGCAAAACATCTACAGTCCGTTATCCTGGGCTTTTAACTGGGTAGGTGGGTGTAGTGGAACTAACTGAGGAGCCTGGGATCAAGTCCCTGTGGATTCTGTCACCACCTATCTCAGCCTTTATTTTCTCATCTCTAGAATGGGGATAATCATGCTTGCCTGGTGGTGGTCAGGACTAAAAGAGATAATGGAGTGCTTAACATAGTCCTCCACATCAAGTAAGTGCTCACAAAATTCTTTCGATATTCATGGTAATGACTATGCCTTCACTAATGGGTCATTTACTATGTGCTAGACACTGTGACAGCTGTTTTCCTTTCCATTTCTCATCTAATTCTCGCAAAACCCCAAGAGGCAGGTATTATCACCATTTTGCAGAAATGGAAACAGGCACAGAGAGGTGAAGTGATATGCCCCAGGTCACACAACTAGTTAAGAAGCAGAGAGGGGATTTGAACCCACTCCAAAACCCATATTACCCCTATTTTGTCCCATCCTCCACCTTCAAGATTTCAGTTCCCCTCTATGTCCTCACCTCCTTCTCTTCTTCCTGGTGGATTTCTTCTTTTTCTTCTTCCCCCTGGAGGATGGCGGTGGTGTCAAGTCTTTGTCACGAGAGGCACTGTGGGGAACAGAGTTGGACATTAGAGGAACCAGAGTTCCCCAACCCTACATCCAGGTCTGTTGCAGCCAAGGAAGGACCCAGTTCCTTGGAGGATCAAGGACCCACAGCAAATGCCCAATTACCATCTCATGGCTGATTTGGTCACCCTTCAGATTAAGTGCTTCAAATAAAGACTTAATGCCAACCTAATGAGACAGACGTTGTACGTTACCCAAACACCAATTGATTATTTAAACCAGAGTTATAGAGGTTAACTACTCCATAATAGATTTATTATTGAATTTGCAAATGGCTCACCTTGGTAAATAAATCACTTTTTAAATAATTAATCTACAGTTCAGTTCACTCCCTCCCCAACACATTGTGTCTGTAGTTCCTGCTGGAAATTTAATAGGAGGCTGAAGGTATGTTAAGCAGCAGCTGATTATTAAAAGTATATTTGCCGAGGTCCAACGTAATGAGATACATATCTTATATAGTCTCACAGAACCTCAAAAACCTCTGCTCTTCAAGAATAATTATTTCCTGTTCAATTAAATTCAAATGCTCAGGCTATAGTTAAATGAAGTCAAGTTATCTCCTTTTCTAATTGGGGCAGGCTCCAAGGATATTTTTAAATGTTATCCCATGGCAAAGAGAGATGGTTTGGAATGAAAAACTGCTTGGGAATTGAAACATGCTAACCCAATTGAACCTCACCAGGAAACCATAATATTAATAATAATATCATTGTCATAGTTTTAGTAGTAATACAACTAGCATTTATGCACTTATTATGTGCCAAGTGTTTATATATTCCGATACACACAAAAACACTTTGAGGGTGGTATGATTTTTATTGTCTCATTTTACAGGTGAAGAAGCTGAGACTCAGAAAGTTGAATTAACTCATCTATGGCCAGACAATTAAAAAGCATCCAAGCTGGGATTTCAATTGAGGCCTGTGTGATTCTTACCCTGAAAGCTTTCCCACAAAACCAGCTGCCATCTCAAACTTGTTTGTGTGGCCAATTGCTTGAAAATTATCCAACTCTTTACAAAGCATCATAAAATACTGCTATATTTAATTCCATTTTAAGAATCTGGATCATTATGATTAGTAGAAAGAATGATGAAGTGATTAGAATATATGTTAAGGCTTCTGTATCTCTAATAAATAAAAATCATATAGTTATAGCAATAGTATTTTCAAGAGAGTCACTTTTAGCAGGTTAAAAATAAATATCTTGCCCTTTCTGTCCATGGACGCTGCAGAGAAAGCATCATTAAAGTCTTCCCTGCCGTTGTGTCTAAGTCAGAGTCTCCTAAAGAGCCTGAACAGCTGCAGAAGCTCTTCTTTGGAGGGTTGAGCTTTGAAACGAGTGGTGAGAGTCTCAGGAGCCATTCTGAGCAATGGGGAATGCTAATGGACTGTGTGGTAATGAGAGATCCAAACGCCAAGTGCTGCAGGGGCTTTGGGTTTGTCACATATGCCACTGTGGAGGAGGTGGATGCAGCCATGAATGCAGGACCATACAAGGTGGATGGAAGAGTCGTGGAACCAAAGAAGGCTGTCTCAAGAGAGGCTTCTCCCAGACCAGATGCCCACTTAACTGTGAAGAAAATCTTTATTGGGTGATATTAAAGAAAACACTGAAGAACATCACCTGAGAGATTACTTTGAACAGCACGGGAAAATTGAAGTGAGCGAAATCATGACTGGCCAAGGCAGCGGCAGGAAGAGGGGCTTTGCTTTTGTGACCTTCAATGACCATGACTCCGTGGATAAGATTGTCATTCAGAAATACCATACTGTGAATGGCCACAAGTGTGAAATAAGGAAAGCCCTGTCAAAGCAAGAGATGGCTGGTGCTTCATTCAGCCAAAGAGGTCAAAGTGGTTCTGGAAACTTTGGTGGTGGTCACGGAAGTGGTTTTGGTGGGAATGACAACTTTGGTTGTGGAGGAAACTTCAGTGATCGTGGTGGCTTTGGTGGCAGCTGTGGTGGTGGTAGATATGGTGGCAGGGGGGATGGCTATAATGGATTTGGTAATGATGGGAGCAATTTTGGAGGTGGTGGAAGCTACAATGATTTTGGCGATCACAACAATCAGTTTTCACAGTTTGGACCCATGAAGGGAGGAAAGTTTGGAGGCAGAAGATTTGGCCCTGATGGTGGTGGGGGACAATACACTGTCAAACCACTAAATCAAGGTGGCTATGGTGGCTCCAGCAGCAGCGGTAGCTATGGCAGTGGCAGGAGGTTTTAATTAACTTCCCAGAAACAAAAGCTTAGTAGGAGAGGAGAGCCAGAGAAGTGACAGGGAAGCTACAGGTTACAACAGATTTGTGAACTCAGCCAAGCACAGTGGTGGCAGGGCCTAGCTGCTACAAAGAAGACATGTTTTAGATAATACGCATGTGTATGGGCAAAAAAACTCAAGGACTGTATTTGTGACTAATTGTACAAGTTATTTTAGTTTCTGTTCTGTGGAAAGTGTAAAGCATTTCAACAAAGGGTTTTAATGTAGAATTTTTTTTTTTGTACCCATGCTGTTGATTGCTAAATGTAATAGTCTGATCATGACGTTGAATGAAGGTGTCTTTTAAAAAATAAATAGATAAAAATAAATAAATATCTTACATGTTATTAATGCTTACATGTTATAAAGCATAAAGCACAGTACACATATCCAGAAAGCAAACAGGCTGCTTGCATAAATGTGAGCCACTTCCAGATTTTTTTCTCCAAAAAGTGCTTGATACAGCAAGAGCCTAATAAATACTTGTTGAGTGACCAAATGAGAGATGAATGGATGAAACAATTTAGCTACTTGTTAAATCATCTTGTTGCATATAGACACTTCCATTGCAACAGCTGCCAGGTATTTGAAGGGAAAAAAATTAAGGGAGACATAATGAAGAAAAAAATCCTTTAAAAGTGTGTCTTATAAAATGGGGAAAGGTCCCACGGTTTCAGTCAATTTCTCTAGCTTCTGGAACCCCAAGTTCTCAGGGGAACAGGGTTTGGGAACTACTGTCCTAGACTCAGATTTAAGTAATGGGGTAAAACCATGAAAGCCCTTGATTTGGATAGACTTGAGGTCTGTGAGGTGGGGATAATCAGCCCCCTCATTGAATCCTAAATGCCTTTACCCAGGTAGGTCTCATTTCTTCTACTCCTTTCTTTCCCCTGTGCCAGTTCTCCTCGTGTACCATCCCGGAGGGGCTGGAAGGGGCAGAATAGTGATAAAGTACACTGTGGTTATGTGTTCAGGGGTTAAGTATGCTGTGGTTACATATACACTGGTTAAGTACAGTGATTAAGTATGCAGCAGCTAAATTTGCAGCGATTAAGTATGAAGTGGGTACACGTGTAGCAATTAAGTGCGTAGTGGTTAAATATGCAGACATTAAGTACACACGGGTGAAATATGCAAAGGTTAAGTACATGGTAGTTCAGATCTCAGTGGCTATGTATACAGTGGTTAAATATAGTGATTAGGTATGCAGTGGCTACATGTGTAGTGGTTAAATCTGCAGTGGTTAAGTACACACTGGTAAACGATGTGACGTTAAGTATGCAGTGGTTAAGTGCTCAATATTTACTTATACAGTGGTTAAACATATAGCGATTAAGTACGCAGTGGTTACATATACAGTGGTTCAATATGCACAGGTTAAATATGTGGTAGTTAAGTATGCAGCAGCGAGAAATGCTGGCTCTGGAAACAGACACATCTGGACTTTAAGTCCAGCTGTATGACTTTCTAGCTCAAGGGCCTCTCTGAGTCTCATTTCATCATCTACAAGATGGGAATAAAACATGGTACCTGTGTCATAAATTTGTTGTCAGGAGTAAAGGAGCTGACTTACGTAATGTGCCCAAAGTCAGTTCACAGTAAAAGAGGCTTCTGCTATTATAATTATTATGACTTTTGTCATCACTATTATTTTTATTACCATCATTATTGTGGCTTTTATCATGTTAGAGTCAGTCACAGAGAGAAGAAGGGGGCAAGAGGCCCAGACACTATATAATTGAGTTGGCAACACGGCATCATTTTCTCTTCCGTCTCCATGAGACTAACATTTTTTGAGGATCTCCTGTGTTCTGGGCCCACTGCCGTGATTTGTACATGCCTGATCTAATTTAATCCTCACCTTGATCTTGAGGATTAGGTCTCAATATTCCCATTTTATAGTTGTGAATACTGAGGCCCAGAGAGGAAAAGGAGCTCGCCCAAGGCCACTCAGTTAGTAAGTGGTGGGGTCAGATTTGAACACAAGGCTCTACAACATACATACTCCCCTTTGGCCATGAGGGAAATGATGTTTTTAAAGCGTGGAAATTCCCTTCCTTTCCCCTTCTCTCTCCATCTCCTTCTGCCTCTCATGGAAGCAACTTTCTTCCTGTTTTCTGGAGAGAATTCTTCAGATCTGATGTTGAACTTCACTTATAGCCAGGATGGCAGGCTGGGTGGAGGGGTGGACTTCATCCGTGAAAGCTACTCCGGCTTCCTAAGACACTTCTTCAAAATTCAGTAACCATGTCTCCTAGAATCAGGGTTCTTAACTAGGGGTGCATGTTTGTCAGGCTCAGGGGTCTATGAACCTTCTGAAATGGTACACAGAATTTTCGAAGTGTCCTTAGAGTGTATACATTTTTCCTGAAGACAGCACTCATAGATTCCATCTGATTCTCAAGTGGGTGCTCAATATGGCTTAGGATCTCTACCTTAGTAAACTGAGAACTCCAGGATGTACAGGTAGAATTTGGACCAGGGTCAGGGATCCTCAGGCTAATCTTGGCCCTGCTATCAACCGGCCTCAGTTTCCCCATCTATAAAATGGCCTTACCATTCTCTGATTCAAGATAAGGAGGCTGGGGTTGTATCTAGGGAGTTTAACTGAGAAGGACACCGGATTCATTTTCCACCTGTTACTGGGACTTGGATCCAGACCATGGCAGTAAGAGAGTGGTGTGTTAACAACAGAGAAGGGATTAGGCTTTAATCCAGTGGTAAAGCTGAATTATCAAGATGATGCTGTAAAAGTATTCAGATTCTCTCTCTTTTTTTTTCTAGAAAATGTAATTTTATTAATACTATTTTCTACATTCTAGGACGTTGTTGTGGAACAGTTGGGAGGGAGGGGAAGGGGGAAAGGGGAAGGAAATGTGATGGAAGAATTATCAAGATGATGCTGTAAAAGTATTCAGATTCTCTCTCTTTTTTTTTCTAGAAAATGTAATTTTATTAATACTATTTTCTACATTCTAGGATGTTGTTGTGGAACAGTTGGGAGGGAGGGGAAGGGGGAAAGGGGAAGGAAATGTGATGGAAGAAGGAGGAAGGAGGAGGGGTGGGATTGAGGCCTGTGGCACCCCCCACTTTCCCCCAGGGGAGGCCAGGGGGGCTTCTAGTGGTGGCTTGGAGGCCAAAGACAGACTGCGCTCTTGAGTATATGGTACAAAAGTGAAAACAGAAGACAGAGGATAGATTGGCTTTTTCATTAGCACCAACAGGATAATGTGACAGGTTTTAGTGTAGGATTTGGGATCAGAGAGACTGGAGTTCAAAACTTCACTCTGCCATTCACTGCTTGCCATATTTTGGGCAAGCCACTTTACTTCTCTGAGCTTAGGTAAAATGCCATATCTTCAGGTGCTAGCACTACATTTATCATGTAGTAGTACTCAAAAAGCACTGCGTGAATAACTGACTTAAAGAATGAATGCAAAGATCTAGAACTCAGGAGACAGGTCTAAGCTAAAATTATGATTTGGGAGTCAGTGGCTCATTAAAATGGGGAGGAAGTCTATCATTTAAGGTGAGAATCAGCAAACCTTCTATGGCCAATGGGCCAAGTCTAGCCTGCCTCCTCTTTTTATAAATAAAGTTTTATCAGAACACAGCTATGCCTATTTGTTTGCATAATATCTATGGCTGTTTTTGTGCTACGATGGCAGCATTGAGTTGCTGTTACAGAAACCACTGGGTCGACATACTTAAAATATTTACTGTCCAGTCCTCTACAGAGAAAATTTACTGACCCCTGATTTAAGGGTCTGAGAGAGGAACTTGCAAAAGAGAGGAGGGAGAAGTGGCCAGAGAGGCTAACTTCATTTCTGGATCCTCAACTTGAACCTCCCCATTAGACTGAAGTGAGGAAGAGGGCAGTATCTCACCTGTGTGCTCTGGCAGGACCCAGCTCCTGGCAGGCCTTGTCTCTCTCCCAGTTATTGGTGCCCAAGGCCTCAGTGGCCAGATGCTGACCCAGTTTTTCTGAGGGCCCATCCTGAGCTGGGACCACAGGGCTGCTCTGGGGCTCTGACCTACAGGGGAAGAAATAAGAACACAAAAGTATTAGGATATACATAGATACTTAAGGTTCATAAAATATTCAGGAACTTCCTAATATTTCCCAACTTCCCTTGCAGTCAGGTTGAGTCCATGAGATTATCTTTGGCTGATGGTCTCTGAGTGGGAATGACCATCATTTCCAGTTCAAGGCAGTCAGGATCTGTGAGCCTGACCCAGCTCTTTCTTCCTCTGTTGCAGTGACTTTGGAGGCCACATGTTCTGAAAGATGAGGCTACTCGATGGAGAAGAGATGCCTGAACCACATCAGACTTTGTAAGAGAGAAATAAACCTTAATGAGGTTAAGCCACTCAGATTTAGGTGTCTTTTTGTTAATGCAGCAAAGCCTCGCCTATCCCTAAATCACAGGGAGATGCTGGAAAGCAGCACTTCACTTCTTTTCTCAAGATAAAATTGGAAGCCAAAGCATGACAGTATTAGTTGAAATTCTTTGCCATTTCTATTACATTTCTCTGCCTTATCTGTATATGGAAGACATATACCTATATTCAATAGGAATTTAGTAGCTATAGGACCTGGGGCCCATCACTTAAAATCTCTGAATCATAGTTTCCTCAATTATAAAATAGGGAATAATATCTGTCCATGTACTGTTGGGTTGTTGTGAAGATAAAGTGAGATAATGTATGCAAACAGACAGGCCTAAAAAGTGCTGTTTTCCTTTGCTTTTACTTCCTTGTGAACCATACCACCAATCTGGTATCCTTAACAGGTACAAGGTCACTTGGGTTAACAGGCTACTTGGGTTAACAGTTCCCATGAAGGCCTGAAGTCCCCTCCTCTGCCACTAACATAAGCTCCGATTATACTGGGGAGTCACCTATGAGTCCCACCTCTTTATCTGAGTCCCAGAGAGAGAAAAGAAGTTGCCTAATAATTCAGCCTTTGAAGAGACTGTCACTCAAATTCCTGGCTCCTAAGTGGGAGGAGTCAGGACTTTGAGAGTCACAGGTGTACTTGACACCACCCATTGAGCACCCCTCCCTGCTCACCCTGCCTTCAGACCCCAGGACAAGCATTGATTAAAGGCATTAGCATTTCTTATGCACGAGTCTCTTGCAGCCTGTGCATCAAAATTTGTTTTATGACTCAGGATTAATGCATTTGATAAGCCTCTGGCTCTTTAGCGTTGCCAGGAGAGCAGGCCAAGTCCAGTCAATATTGAAGGAAAGGCAGCAAAACACATCCATCTCTGTCAGCTGCTTATTGGTGCATCTTTAGAAGCAGAACTGGGAGATACTGCAAGCCCAGGAAGGACGGAGATTCTAACGCTCAGCCCTCCTCACTGCCAACCCCATGCTTCCCGAACTCCCTTCCATCTTACTCAGCCTCAGTTTTCCCTGAGCCTCCCTGCCCCACTTCTCCTACTATGAGGTTTCCATTTTCATGCCTTTGCTCCTGTCCATCTGTCCACGTGCAATGCTGTCCTGGCTCCTATTGAACAAATCAAAGCTTGCAATGTCTATCCAGACACTGACAAGGCTTGCTTCCTCCCATACTCATCCTGGCCAAGGCCAACCTTCATTCATTCACCCCCATTCCCTGAATGTCTACAATGTTTCCAGGCCAGTTCCAGGTGTGGTGATACAGTGGACAAGACAGAGACGTCCCCTGTCATCATGGAGTTTACATTCTAGATGGGGAAGCAGATCATAAACACACAAGCAAGTAGAAATATGGCCTGTCAAATGGTAATAAATTATGATGAGACTAGAGTGGCATGCAGGGCTAGGAAATGGGAGGGGGTGGCTGATGTTTTGTACACAGTAATCAAGGAAGGTGTTTCTGAGGGGTAACAATGGAGTGAAGACTTTAAGGCCTAGGGACTAACCTTGAAGTTCAGGTGGTTTAAAATGAGTTCACAGATTCCTTGACACTCCTACTATCAAAAGATGGAACTTAATTTCTTTTCCTTTGGATATTGGATGAGCTTAGTGACTCACCTCTAATGAATAGAATGTGGTAGAAGTGGTAGTGAGTGATTTTCAAGACTAGGTCACAAAAGGCAGCTTTGTCTTGCTCTCTTGGATTGATCACTCTGGGTGGAACCAGCTGCCATGTTATGAGGACACTCAAGCAGCCCCATGGAGAGGTCCACATGGCAAGGAACTGAAGCATCATGCTAGCAGCCAGCGCCCACTTGCCAGACATGTGAGTTAGCCACCTTGAAAGTGGGTCCTCCAGCTCCAGTCAAGCCTTCAGATGAGACTACAGACCTGGCTGACATCTGACCACAATCCATGGGAGATGTTTAGCCAGAACCACCCAGCCAAATTCCTGATACACAGAAACTGTAAAACATAATTACTTTATTCTTGATTTAAGCCACAAATATTTGGGGTAGTTTGCTGTGCAGTAGTATATAACTTCTACACAGGTATCTGTGGGAAGTGGGAGGTGGGAAGGAATAGCAAGTTCAAAGACCCTTGCCATATATAAGGACAAAAAGAAAGCACTGGAATGGTAAGAGATGAGATAAGAGATCAGGTCTTTGCAGGTTGTGGGAAGACCTTTGGGTTCTACGTAGCTGAGATGGGAAGCCTATTGAACAAAGAGTCATAGTCTGGCTTACATTTGAGAAGAATCACTCTACTAGACTGAAGGAAGAAAAGGGCAGAGACAGGAAGACTGCTGCAATATCCAGGCTCAGATCAGTGTAGTAGCAATGGGGGTGATGAGATGTGGTCAGACTTTAACAATTTTTGAAAGTAGTACTAACATCATTTGCTGCTGATTAAATGTGGGAAGTAAGAGAGTCAGCCAAGGGGAGGAGTCAAAGATGACTCCAAGGTTTTGAGCCTGAGCAGAAAGGATGGAGTAGTCATTAATGAGATGGAAAAAAGATGGTGTAGGGACCAACCTTATGGGCAGATCCCTTTTCTAGGATATTATAACCTTTGCTATCCTTACTATAGCTCTTAGTAATATGTGTTATTGTCATTTAATTGTCTTCTTTCACACTAGATGGTGAGCTCCCTGAGAGCAGGACCATGTTTTAATGTCCCAGAGCCTGCTGCTTAGTAAACACTCAGCAATATTTGCTCAATGAATAAACGAAAGAGCAAATGCACTGGCCAAAGAGAGCATTTGTTTCAAAAAGTTAGAACAGGCTTTTGAGATGCTTTGGACAAATCCCTTCCTGTTGCAGTTGGTGGGGATGGATGCCCAGAGAGGGCACATAGACCAGCTAATGCTTCCATCTGTATGGACTGTTCAGTCAATTTCTTCTCTATTCTACCTGATATTTGTCTTGGAAAAGTTATCAGTGAGCTTATCAACTTGTATGTATTACCCAGCAGAGCCTTCACTTGGAGAAACAAAAAAATGGAATTTTGGACTCTCTGGGATATTATAGGAAAACAAGACACAAATCTAGACCAGAGGCCATCTCATGACAGGCAAAAATTGAGAGTTGATGTGAGGCATTTGGCAGTGAATAGACACATGGTGAGTAGTGCTGGTGTTGGGTGGAGGGTCTTAGTGACGTGTCCAGTGGAGGGGATAGAGGCAAATGTGTTATTCAAAGTGTAGGAAATCCTGGCAGATGTCACTGCCAGAGCACTGGGGCACAAGTCTTAGGGTGAGAACATCTCACCCATCATTGCCAGCAGTGGAGGTCAGAATCAGCGATAGGGAAATCTGGCAATGGAGGAAAGATATAACGTACTTGTGGAAATCTATGTAACTTTATACTCCTTGAAGAGATAGATTGTTCTCTTTCTCTAATAATATTGGTTTCACCTTTCTGGGATTGGGTACCCCACCTGGGATTTGGCAATAAAACAAACAGAAATATAATTAATTCTACCAGACAGACAGGAAGTGCTAAAGGGAAGAAGGAAATCCTCTGTAATATAACACTTAAGATCTTTTTTTTGAGATATTTTAACTCTTTGCTTCTCAGCTTTCTTAAAGCTGAAAGAGACTCGGGGAGCATGTCATCCAGGGTTTCTCAAGCCTGGCGCAGTATTAGATGCCCCCCAAAGCCCTTTTCAAAATACAGATTCCTAGGTCCCTTCCTAGCTAAAATAAGTCAGAGTCTCAAAGGGGCGAAACTTGGGAGTCTGCCATCTTAAGGGAACATCCCAGGTAATTCAGCTTCTTACTGACTCAAGAATAAAATACAAAGTGATTCCTAGGACTAAAAGGCTTTGCTTGATGTGGCTTCTGCCCCACTTTTAACCCCATGTCCTACTCCTCTCTCTGTCCCTTACACTGCTTTATCCACATGGCCTTCTTGCTGTTCCTTAAACGAGTCACCCATTTTCCTGCCTCAGGGTCTTTGCTTTGCTGTTGCCTCCACCTGGCATGCTGTTCCTCTAGCTCCTTGAGTGCACAGCTCCTCATTCAAACGTCACCTTTTCAGCAAGGCCCTCCCAGACCCCTCTTTACCTGTGATGGGAATCACAGTAGCCTGCTATGTCTTTCTTCATAACCACAGTTACTATTTGAAAGGGTCATTTTATATATTTATTTGTCAACTGTTTGTCTTCTGGACTAGAATGTAAGCTTCATAAGAGGGGGAATAAACCTCTTTTCTCACCACCAAATCCCCATTATTTTTGCTTAATAAATGTTTGTTGAATGAATGAATGAATCAATAAATGAATTCTGATGATAGATACTGTGTGGGAACCACATATCAGATTCAACCTCTTCTTACAAATAAACAAACAGAGGTCCAGGGAAGAGGACCAGTCCAAGGTCACTTTGCACTTCAGTGGAATCAGACCTCTGCAATGATCCCTCTCCTCTAAACCTCCACGCATCTCCCTTCCCCGCCTCCAGCTTTGCATCCTTGCAGGGCTTTAAAAATTCTGTGTTCCATCTTTGCTAAGGAGTACCAGCAGCTGCCTCATTTTCACCACATAGCCCTTTGATATTGCATTAAAAAAATACTTAAAAGAAAGTCAAGATCTTCAGGGGACAGCTAAAACAGTGGAGTCAAGGGCC